AACAAAGCATTAAGCTAAGCTTTAAGGAGCATTGCAATTTTTTTGCCAAAGGCCAGTGATTGACTAACCGTGTCCTACAGGTGTGATCGACTAGGTTGAGGGACTGTCACGCCCTCAAAATGAAGTATAAGACAACCATTCATATAATCCATGAACATAGAAGAAATATTACATTTCCATTCATCAGAGCCTTCCTTACAAACAGTAGTACATGTTAGTAACAAAATGAATGCCCTACGAGCTTACATCTTTCCAAGTAATAACTTGGTTATAACAAAAGAAGAGTTCTAACTCTTTACATATGAAGCCCCCTGCTTGAATTTACATTTAATCATCAAAACAAAATAACAAAACATGGAGTCTTCAACTCCTAAACCTCCCAAGCTAAGACCTTAGAGGCGGCGTGTCCCCTGTACCTGAAAAATGGTGTCCCAAGTAAGGTGAGCCAAAGCCTAATAGAGATATGCTAAACCAAATATGAGAATTAACTAAAATATTAGCATTTGATAAATGTTTAACACTTGTAAACCAATTTACATTCTTTCATAACTAATTAACATTTACATCCATATTTCAATCAATTTCCATTTATCTATCCAAAACAATTCATTGACAAAGTTCATTGATATCCAAATATTTCAAAATGAGACTACAACTCACATTATCAACACTTCAATCATAAACATCATTCATACACTTCTATTTACTTACCATTTTACGAAACTACGTCCGAGGGAACCGGCACCCAAATATATACAAGATTTCGGGACTTTCACTCTGGACACTCCGGCCAACGTAATTATCAATGGGGTCCATGCCCTATCTCCTCCCAAACAAGATACATATGCAATGTATTTAAACACGTTGTCATATACAATGACCAATTCAATCACATTTTCAATGTTTATATCCAACCGTCATATTCAATGACATGTTCCAATTGATTAGTTTCAATTCACCTAATCATCATGTAGTTTCTACAACAATCATGGCTATCCTCCACCGATAGCCCAAAAACAGATATTTCTAAACAGATAAATATATTTATCAAACAAATAATTTATCAACTTTTTCCACAGGTGAGTGACTTATCAATCCAACTACACCATTTAATCACAATTTCCTCCAATTTCATGATTCTCAAACCAATTTCATATTTCCACGGTTGATTTCATTATTTAAGCAAATAATTTATTTAATCCTAATTAGGGCATTTTTCCATTTTCTCAAAAATTGCACCCAATGCCAAATTTCACCCATTATACACAAACAACCCCATTTTCAAGACCCCACATACATATGGAACCCAACATTAGGAAACCCCTCTTTTATAATTTCAAACTCAACCATAACTTTACCCAAAATTTCCAAATCCTACCATTTATACAAAATGACCAATATTTATGTCAAAACTAATATTAAGGAGTAGATTATCCCTACCTCAAGAAGAGAAGATTAGCCGAGCAAGAGAGAAACTCCAAAGATGCCGAAACCCCACTCTATTCGGTTCAAAAGGTAGATCTTGAGATGTTCCAACTTTTAATGAAGACACAAGGGTGTAGAGATCACTTGATCTAGGCCAAAAAGTAAAGAGATGGAGTATTTTAGAGAGAGAGGCTCTCAACTTAGGGTTTTGGAAAGTTTTAGAGGGAGAAAGGACAGAAAAAGTGATTTAAAATATCACTTTCGCGATCTGATAGACGTGCAGTCCGCACGAGCAGAGAGTTTGACACTTGAGCATCAGAAACAAAAAATGGTCTCGCTCGAGCGTAGTAAAGGCCGCTTGAGCGCTAAGACACAATCAACAAGGTACTACCAGCTCGAGCGCAAAGAGACCCGCTCGAGCGTAGAATACACTGGCCCAATATTTTACAAACTTCAAACAGTCGCTTGAGCGCCAGAGGGGCCGCTCGAGCGTAATAAACACCGCTCGAGCGTGAAAAACACTTTTGCAGCATTTCTTTCAGACGTACAAAGTACTGAGTGATTGCGAACCCCGCTCGAGCAAAAAACCAAAATTCTGGGCAACAAGGTTCTAGATTAACTAGCAACCCACATGTTCCAAACTCGCCCAACGCATCTCAAAACTCAAATACAAGGAATTAAAGGATGGAAACAGGATATAGACAATAACATTCAACCACAAAACCCAAGTCCGAACACAATGAAAGTCGGGAAAAAACCTAGATCGCTATAGGGACATACATTACAGGAACGGACCGAGAGACTTAGCTGTTGAACGAACCGAGTGCTTTCCTTGTCCAAGATTGAAGTTACAAGACCAAAGTAGAGAGAGGAATGATAGCAAGGATTCAAAGCATCGAACCGAAAGATGTGACCGATGTGACTGAACTAAAGCTCTTGTTTCTGATCCTGGCAAGGGTTTGAGGGTAGCTGTTGGAGATGATGTAGGGACTGAAGATGGAGATGCGGATTCAGCTGCGGATGGAGATTCAGGATATGACTGATCGGGAAAGGTTGGCTTGTAAGTTACTGAACTCTCCCTTGAAAAGGGCATTAGAAGCGCTTTTAATGCGCATTGACTATGGGCAGTGGGTAAAGCAGGAAGCTTTCTGATTAGGTCTCTTGTTTGCTTCTTTAAAGTTATAGAAGCTCTTTCATCTTCATGGCTCGTCTTTTTTTTTTTCTTCCCTTTTTTGCCATTTTATTTGAAATAATTTACTATTCTTAGCCTATATGTTGAGTGAAGTTTTTTCGTAATTACGTAAATATTCTTGATCAATTATGAAATATAAATATTTTATTTTTCAGCAAGTTACAAATAAGCCCATAAATTTTGTTTAAAATATGAATCGGTCTTGAACAAGTTACAAATACATCCATAAATTTTGTTTAAAATATGAATCGGTCCTATAATACTAGAAATTACAACTATCGTTTATTATGAATTTTAATTGAACACAATACCCAAGGAAAAAAAATTATTCTCCTATGCAATAATAAATTATCAAATTTTTTTTATTGAAAAATATTTTTGATATCATGAAAAATTGTTAATTGATTTAATGATTTATTTATTAACAAAATGGTTAACTGAAAAATATTTTTTATATCATTAAAAATTGTTAATTTACTTAATGATTTACTTATGAATAAAATTGATCATTTATTATGCGAGTATGATTTACGGATTAATAAAATTAGTCATTTGTATATATATGTATTTTCTTTTGCTTCTTTATTAGTTCAGTGACTTATCTTAGTAGTTTTTTTTTAGATGAGAGAATTATCTTAATATTTGTTTTATATTTATCTATTAAAAAAACTACACACCATAATTTTGTTTTTTGTATTTATAAATTCGGAGGAAATGTCAAAGATTCATAAATTCATCCAAAATGATATGGTAATAGAATTGGAGTCGATATTATTGGGTGTATAACAAATCAAAAAATGATATATATCATACCATATAATTCTATCATATATCTAATGATTTATTCTATTCAATTTCATAAAATAATAATTGAAATTTTTTACAAATTATCAAAATACAAAACTTGAACATATTGTAACTTGTTCAAAAATAAAGGCCTTGTTTGGTTTGGCTTTGGGAAAAAGATTTTGGAGAAAATTTTTAAAAATTTTGTTTGGTTTGTAATTTTTCTCAAAAAATTTCCAAAATTGCTTTCTCTCTCCTACACATCAATCAATCACTTTTTTTTCTCTTCTCTCTTATTTACAATAATTTTTTCTTTCATATACATCTACTCAATTATAACAAAATTTCAAATCATCTGAAACTCCCAAACTCCAAAATTATTTTCAAAATATACAATCAAACAAACTACAAAAATTTTTAAATTCTCTTCCTAAAATATTTTTTGAAAACTTATCTCCCAAAGTCAAACCAAACAAGGCCAAAAAAATTATATTTCATAATTGACCAAGAATATTTATGTAATTATGAAAAAATTTATTTCATAATTGATAAAAAATATTTACGTAATTACGAAAAAACCTATTATATAATTGACCAAGAATATTTGCGTAATTATAAAAAAATCTTCACTCAACATATAAGCTACAAATAATAATAAATTATTTCAAATACAAGGGCAAAAAAGAAAAAAAAGGAGAAAAAAGAGCCATAAAGATGAAAGAGCTTCTTAGAGCATCTCCAATGCACTAGGCATATAATACTTGTTAGTTAAAATGCCTAGTGTGATTCACTTTTTTTAATTCCAACGCACTAGGCATATGATTAGGCATTTTGGCTCAACTCATATTCACTAGTTACATGTAGCTAGCCTTCAACGCTAGGCAAAATGTATTCAATCATTAGGATCATTTCCCTCCATCTTTGTTGTTGACGTGACATTCTATAAAATTAATAGTATTTGGATTAATAGCTAAAATAAAGAGCATGGTTGGAGTAAAAACATAAAACAGTTGATAGGCAAAATAAAATATATACTTTATAGTAATATTTAGATAGATAAAATACCTACTACCGTTGGAGATGCTCTTATATACACAACTTCAGTTATCTTCGTATACATCATGCACATCCTTACTTATCTCTGTGTACACCATTAACTCACTTAATAACATACAAAAGTTAAATTTTTAGGCTTTATCTGGTGGAGTTTTTAAAATATAGCTTCACACTCACTTTACTTTAAAGTGTAGTATTTGTTTAGTATCTTCAAAATTTAATTTGACATTCACTTTTGAAAACTCTTTTTAAAGAAAATTTGATTGACTAGAATAGTATTCGTTTTTTTTTGTACATATTATTTTTATATTACAAAAAAAATATTTGTGAATTTTTTTAAATTTTTTTATAAGTTTTAAATAGAATTTTAAATTATATATTTAATTATAAATTATAAATTTTTTTATCAAATATCATATATCATATCACTCAATTTAAACTTAATTTAAAATACTTTTCAAAACTTATAACCAAACAAATTTTTCACGTTGAAATTATAAATCTAAAACTCACGAATCAAATCATAATCGTAAAACTCAGCCAAACACGTCTCAATACACAGTAGCTTTTAGATACAGTAATACTAAACTACCTCATCTTCTCCAGCTAATCATAACCCTAACCATTGCCGGCAACCACCGCCTCCCACCGGCGCCGTTCCCTTCTCAGCCTCTCTCAACTTCCCACGGCCACCGCCCCTCCCCAGCCTACTCCCCCTCCCGCCACTGCTTTCTCCTCTAGGAGATTGAAACCCAGATGATGAAATGAGGTTTCTTCAAGCAGAGAGATGGGAAGTTTCTGAAGGTGGTTGCCTCTCTGTAATCTGTACGATACAGAAAAAGAAGCCCAGGATTTCATCTTCATCTCTAAATTTCAACAACCCTTTGGGTGTGTGAGTTTGTATGTACTCAGTACTCTGTATTGTGTATCTATATATATATATATATATATATGCATAGCTCGGTTCGGTTCATCGAATCCAGATCCTCTAGAGTGATTCAACCCTTTTACTGCATCTTCTTCATCATCATAATCAACCCCATAACAACCAACTATACTATCTTCTTTGTAAGAGGCTGTGATGATACTTTTTCTGGGTTTTCAAATCAGGCTTTGAGATTTGGATCCGTTTCATGGCGGGGCAACCCGGAAGGCCATTGAGAGAGAGAATAAGGGGGAGAGAGACTAGATCTGGGTATCTCTCTCTCTCACTAGGCAACCATTGTTGCAGCCATGACGGAGTTTTAACTCCATTATCAGCCTGGTATCATAGCAGATCTGGGCCTCACCCTTGTCTTTACCAGAAATTTTATGATTGTTTTGCACAATTTTTAGGATGATTGTTTAAAAGTGACAGTTTTACAGTTTTAATTAAGAAAATTGAAGTTAATAATTGAAGCCTCTGTAGCAAATTAATAATTTTTTATTTTTCCCTTGAATATTTTGTGGAAGTTTAATGGCTATACTATGCGCCTGTTTGAAATTTTGACATTCACAATTAAAATGATATGAAGATTTTGCAAAGTTTGCATACGTCTATGAAGGTGATGATGATCGGAAGGGCCTGACTGCCGGTGGTCGTCAATGACAAAGGTTATGGTTGAGTTGGGACAGAGGGAGAAAGGAGGGGTGTGTTGGTAATTTGATTTGATTTGATTGAATGATAGATTTTGCAAAGTATAGTACAATAAAATTCAATGTTTTTCAATTAGCTAAAGAACTTACTATTATTTTTTTGGGTGGGTACGACTTACTATTATTGCAGGTTGAGGTTGATCTTTATGTAACGAATGATAAACCATTTAACAGTCCACCATTTTCACTTCAACATTGCTACCATTAGTATTGAAACAGATGTAGCATTGCCAACTGCAATCATTAGACCTTTGGATGATTCAATCTCAATAGATCCAAGTGAGATCTCTTGTACTAGGGACAATGAGGTGGCTTACAATCGTTTCAGCTTCATCGTCATTCAAATTTATTTAGACTTGTCCAGGAGATATGGTTGTAGCCATTGGCCGCTCCTGTGGTAGAACCCATGCGCTTATGGCTGCACCTGGCAAATTCAGGTACACAAAGTAAATTTACTTTACATGTTTTAATTTATGGTGTTACAATTTTCTTACACAACTGAGAGAATGTAAGACATATCTTAGTGCATGTACAGTCTGTCAAAGATTAATCGTATACGATATCCAATACCCATATATTGCATTATTTTTTGTTGATCACAGTGCTTGTAAGTGCCTTAACAATTTTTTACACTTGCTCTTTTTTCTTTCTGTGCAGTCTTGACTGCTGCAAATTTGATTGCAAAGAGCTTTTCAGGGCAAATTGCATTATTACAAAAGTAATAATTTTACTCTTTTTTCCCTCTCTCTTATATCTATATTGGTTTTGGTTTTAAATTAGTGGTGAATGATGATGAATTTTTGTCTTTTAATTTTTCTTGGTATGCTATACGCGAAGAAACACAGACACGGTCACGGACACAACAATTTTCAAAAAATGCTGGACACGACACATGGGAGACTTGTACAAAATGTATAATTTTATATATTTATATCTCATAAATATTAATATATCATTTATAAATAATAAAAATTATAATATAACACTAACTTCTATGTATTTATAATGTTTTCCTTATGTTAAGTTATGTTTTTTCAAATTTATAATTAGTTTCATGTGGCTAATCGATGAACACATGTATTTAAGTGATGGACACGTGCGTCCTTCAAGTGTCCGGGTCTAAAAATATTTGAAAAAAAATAGGGCATGTTTTGTCGAGTGTCGGACACGTGTCGGGAAAGTGCTGACACGACACGGATATGCCACCTTCTTAGAAGTGTCCGTGCTTCGTAGGCTATAAGTTTAGGGTTAGAGGTGGAGTAGATGTTAACCTGCCCCCACCCCTTCTTGCCCTTAATGGAACGAAGTTGGTAAGAGTTCAATAGGGTTAGGGGCAGATTTGGGATTTCGTTCAAACTGCGTTGGGATTCGGGCCAGAGTTCGCATTTGCCGTCAAAATCAGCTCCGAGTCTGGCTAGTTTATATTATTATAATACATGTGTAATCCTAATTTATTCCAAACAATTTTTTATATGTTTATATATATGCTGAATGTAGTCCACATTTAGGCAGCCAGTATGTGGTAGAATGTAGAGCATACATGGTGGAGTGCAATATGTCCCTAGAGTGTTTTAGAAAATAATTGATGTACGCTGTGTGGTATGTATGAGTTAATGTACTGTGCTTTGGGTTTTATTTGAGTAGATTGTATGTATTTTTAGCAATCTTTCAACTAATGATATATTTTCTTTGCTAGAGTGGTATCGGGGGACCCCTTATCAATCGTTATGGAGAAGTCATTGGAGTCAATTTTTACGATGATGTTTGTACCCCTTTTCTGCCGATCAATATTGTTTCCAAATGTTTGTTGTGATTTAAAAAAAATGGGTATGTTCTCCAAATCATCATAGCTTCCATGTCTGTACTTTGCTTATTATGTGTTGCTAGATGTCCTCAATTATGTACCCCCCAACCCTCCCCAACACTGCTCTCACAAAAAAAGAAATACTGTAGTCTGAAGTTTGTTAGATCTTCTGTGAAGTAGGTACTAAAAAAATGATATATGGGAAGCATTATGAAGCCGTCTTGGAGGGTCTAATGGTTTGTATCATGGCGTAGGAAATCCCGTCGACCTTGGCATGGCATGGAAATGACTAATCTTTATGCGGCAAGTGTAGGCAAGTTGGAAAAGATTATCTCGAAGTTCAATATCTCCAAAGGTATTCTTGTTGAAGAGGTATGTTCTTTGCTACACCTTATTTTAGATAGATCCTGATTCTTTTGGGGCAAAATCTTTTGGGGAGAGAAATGCTATTTATCACCGGATTTATTTCACCTTCTTATTTCACTTCTCATGTGTACTCATGCAATAAAAGCCACTTGTATGTGTAGAACCCACTTTATTTAAAACTAGCTTATCATGTTACGTAGGAAACCGCATTAGAGGTGAAAAGTTTGGTGAAAAAAAACAGTGATATATAGCAGCCTTCTTTTTTGGATGTTCAAATATGACATAGGTACAAGAAATTTGAACGCACATCTAGAACATTGAGTTATTGGTGTCAGAATAATTGCAAATTGCAAAATATTTATTTACATATCTTGTTTCAACATGGCGTACTTCTCTAGTAGAATGCTAAGTTAAGTGATATAAAGTTCTTTATCTTTTTTCTAGTTTTACTTTAGTGTTGGCATAAAAGCAATGAATTATATGTATATAATTTGGGTTTAATGTACCATTAGGGATAAGTTCACATGTCAAGGTATGGGGTTCTGCAGTCACAGTGTTTTTAAAGGCTCAAGGCGCACCAAGGTGCCGAAGGTCTCTTGGGGCTTAAGTGCAAGGTGAGACGCGGTTCATTGCAGCAAGGTGCAGCTTTTCAGTAAAAAATAGATATATTAACATAGACTAATGATTTAGATATTAACATAAGAAAAACACAGAATTCACAACTTATAAACACCTAAGACAAATAATTTAAAAATAAAAAATAAAAGAACTAAAGCAAATAATAATTTTTCGAAGCCCATAAAAGATCGGATCATTCCAAATGCAAAATAATCAAACATTCATCAAAAGCACCAATATTCAAGTTTAGTTTAACCATCTCAAAACATCAAAAAGGAGAGGAGAAGAGAAGAAAATCGGAACCTGGAAGGAGAAGGGAGAAAAAAAAAAAACCTAACCAAATATATATATATATGAACCAGCGGGCTGGAAGAAGAAAAAAAAGAAAAGAAAAAAAAAGAAGATGATTTAGATGTATTGACCCATTTTTTTTTAGAGTTTTAATCAAGTGTGGCTGCACATATTTCTATTTGAGAACTGTTATCCACTGTGGCAGCACATATAATTTCATCTATGAGGCATGGACACTTCAAAATAGGTGTTGTACCGGTGTCGGACACGAGGACACGTGCTGAACACGCACAAGACTCGCCATTTGGCATGTCCTAGTTGTTTTTGGTATGGTACACAACAGGGGACACGGAGGGACACAGAAGTGGACACAGTAGGGTCAAAAAGCTCTAATCGAAGCCCTAATTAGAAAGCTGTAATCAAAGAGAAGAGACCTAATCGAAGCCCTAATCAGAAAACCCTAATCAAAGAGAAGAAGCGACCTAATCTAGAATAAGAAGAAGAAAAAAAAAAAGACCTAATCTAGAATAAGAAGAAAAAAGGGGCAAATTACAGAAATGGTCCCTATAGTTTACCCGTTGTTGCATTTTGGTCCCTACTCTTATAATTTCATCAATTTTGCCCCTACAGTTTGGTTTTTGGCTCTATGTGGTCCAATAGTTAACAGCCGTTAGATTTTTGGACGGAAACCCCACACATGCCTGTGCAGCACAGGACTTGCAAGGGCAAGGTTGTCATTTCGACACCCCCCCACCCATTTTCCCGCCCGAATATGCAGCCCACATTATCTGTGTAAACAAATAGGGGATTAGGGTTAGGAAAGGGGTGAAGAAAGGGAATACAACAAATTGGTCAGAGCTGAGTCATGAATTCAGAAGGAAATCTGAGAAGTGAATCAAATCCATTAAAGTAAGAAAGCAACAAGCCAACTCGATGGCTTTTGAGAGAGGCTTCATCTGGGAGCCCTCAATTTGGTATTTTACTTTTTTAAACAACATTTGTTTGTTTATGTATATTGTCATCTTCAGTTTTGTAATGTTTGATAGTGGTTGAATGGTGATTTATGTATACATATAGGTTATTTATATTTAGATTCACCTTTTTTTTTTTTTGGTTTTTTTTGGAGCAATCTGAGCTACACGCTTCCACATGATACTGATAAAGATATATATACATATGTTGCTTTTTTTGTTTTGTTCCCTCTGTTGTTGACATTCGTTCCCACAAGAATAGACATGCACATGGGGACAAGTAATCAACCCCTGACAAATTTTGATTAATTTTTATTTATTTATTTAATCTTACAGATCCAGATAGTGATTACTTTACTTTAAAAATGCATCACGGGGGAACATTTATATGTAATCCAGATAGGTTATATGTGGTGGGGGGAAGAAACATAGTCAAATACTTTGACTACTGCAAAGATGATTACATGAGTATGTTATACATCGAGGATTTGGTGGAGAAATTGGATCGTATTGGAAGCATGTCATATTACTACAGAATGCCTGATAAAGATCTTACTAGTGGGCTAGTCAATGTAAGGAATGACAATGAGGTGATGGGTATGCTGAAATTCTTAAATAGAAATAGGCAAATTGATTTCTATTTGGAACACTATCCTAAAACACAACCTAGTTCAATACTGATTGATGACATTGATGAGTTGTTTGGAGGTCAAGACGAGTTTCATAGGTATATGGATGTAGTAGAAGCTCAGTTCCAAAAGAATGGTGGTGGAGAAGCTGAGTTAGAGTAAGGTAAGGGTGTAGCAGAAGTTAATGATTTGTTTGATAGTGGATATGATGAAGGTTCTCAGACAGAGTCCACAGATTTGGAGGACTATGAGGATAGTGAAATTGATGAAAGTGAAGATGACATGCTATTTGAAACTCATGTGGATAGAAATGTGGAATGGGGTGGTTTAATGAGGAATAATGTGACTGATGAAGCTTGTACTCATGAAGCTGGGGTTGGTTTAACCAACAATCAAGCACAAGTTGAAGAGAGGTGGGAGGATGAGTCAGCTTTAGATGAGCTTAGAAGCATTGATTCATCAACTGAAGGTGAGGATAATGGAAAAGAAGAAAGAAAGGTACCCTCAATTTAATATGTATACAGATATGGTTGAGCCCCAATTTAAATTTGGGATGTTGTTTGGGACTTCCAAAATCTTCAAAGATGCTGTCAGACAGCATGCTATAAAGACTGAAAAATCAGTTAAGTTTGTGAAAAATGACAGCCTTAGGGTGAGAGCTACCTGTAAACCTCCATGCAAGTGGGTCCTTTTTGCGTTTAAAGTTCAACGGGGAAATAGTTTTCAAATCAAAACCTACCACCCCACACACAATTGTGGCAGAGTTTTCCATAATAGACAAGTCAATTCAACTTGGTTGTCCAAGTACATGGAGACACTTAAGACCAACCCTACATGGCCGTTGTCTTCTTTCCAACAAGCTGTGCAGGTGGACCACAAAGGTGGGGTCTCAGAGTCGACTTTATAGGGCCAAGAGGAAAGCACAAGAGCTGATTGAGGGCAGCCATCAGGAACAATATGCAAATCTGTGGGATTATTGTGAAGAAATTAGAAGATCAAATGTTCATGAGATTCAGCTAGAGGATGAGGATGAGGACGAGGACGATGTAGGGAAGTCCAGATTTGAAAGGATTTATGTATGTTTGGGGGCTTTTGAGCAAGGCTTCATTGCACGTTGTAGGCTATATATTGGAGTGGATGCTTGCCATTTGAGAGGTCCTTACAAAGGGCAGTTGCTTCAATCTGTGGCCATTGATGGTAACAATAACACTTTTCCAGTAGCTTCTGTTGTAGTGGAAGGGGAAACAAAATCCTCATGGAAGTGGTTTATATGAAGAAGTTGCAAAGGTCAACCAGTTGAAGGCAATGCTATAAGGCCAAAGTTACCTGTAAGTGAAATTATTGTCAATTTATTTCACTCTTAAGAGGATAATTTATATGAGGCATTGATTGATTAATTACATTACATTTCACCAAGTTTGCAGGTGAGGAAGAATAATAGGTCAAGTCAAGTTGAAATACCTCCAATGGCTACTGACCAAAACATGGCAAGGAGGAGTAAGGCAAAGGTAGCTGTTGCAGAAGGTAGTAGCAAGGGCGCCAGGGCGAAGATAGCAGCTGCAAGACCTAGTGGCAGTCAACCAAGCATGGGCACCAGTAGTGTTATTAAAGGCATGACCGCACTTCAAACCACATCATGACTACACCTTAAATCACATCATTAAGAAGGGAAGTTTTTGTAATTCTCTACATACATAGGATTTAATTATAAAAAGTTATATAAGAATATACATGTCACTATATGATGAGCCTACCCTTGGTGAAAATAATAAGGTCATCAAATGAATGAGGATATTGCTGGTATACTCTATTGTCTTGACTTATACATTCTTAAATTTTTATTTATTTTTGGATATATATATATATATAAATTTTGGGTATGTTTACTTAAATATTATTGAATATGCTTGAAACTCACAACATGCTGTAAAACCCAATAATTTCACACATCAACAAAGTATGATTGACAATAATGATACACTTATTACATTTGTTTATGGGCAAGTTTCAGTGATAGTCATATAGTTTCCTTTAAGTTTCATTTTTGTTCTTCTCCGTTGAATTGGAACACATTTACCCTGCCATTTAGCTTTTTGTTTCAAACAAGGATAATAGATGACAGAGGTTAACTTTTTGGACTTAAATTGCTATTGTGCAATGTATGTAATCAATTTTTAGGGATAAAATGGTCTTTTATCTCTCTCCCCTCTTTCATCTTGCTTTTCGTGTTATCTCCAAACCACAAACCAAAATTTCCATGACCACACCCACCACTAAATCTCCTCCCTCCACTTCCTCTCACCATGACCAATCATCAACTCCACACTACCCATTCCCCTGCTACACCACCGAACAGCCACCTCCCTTCATCACAAAACCATTACCGAACGCACCTCCCTCCATTACAAACCCACTTCCTCACCACTATAAACCCACGCCCAACCTCCTTATTCTATGCAAATGTTGAGCACATGCACATCCTTTTCAACCCTTAATTCATTTTGCACAAACCCAATACAATATATATTTCAAAATCCTTCTCAACAATTCTAAATCATTATCAATCAAAATTATCACACTTTGTATGCAAATGCTGAGGGATTTCTAGTTATTTGTTTTGTGCCATTATAGGAGATAAAGAAAGAGAGTTTTATGTATGCGTGCTTGTGTAGTATGTCCAAAATTGGCTAAAGAAAAGCACAAATACATCGTGGACTAAAATTCTATAGTGAAATTTAATGCAAAATCCTCCACCACTTCATTTAAATAGTGAAAAACAATAAATGGCTACTCACATAAATAAAAAATAATAATAATACTTGAAGGAATTTCTTAATCACAATTCTCTTAAAAAATCAAACAAATTTGCATTAAAATTTAGTCTATTCAATAAACAGCATAACAGAAATTACAGCAAGAATATAAGCATAAAAACAAAAAATGGGAATGTCTGATTCATGAGTGTTGTTTCCGTCACCCAAAGCAAAGTGGTGCAAGCTCAATGGATTAAAAAAAAAACAACACAAGAAATGCACAACAATCAGCAAATTATTGTGAAGAATTAAGAAATAGATATCGAGAGAACTTCAAGAACCTCAAAGGATTCTAGAAATTTTTCATTTTTGACTTTGCCTATTTCATTGTTCACATGTGCACAAAAGAAGTAACTAAATCATGTCTTAGCAAGAAAAAGGGAAAAAAAATAAAGAAAGAAAATCACATATCCAAATTTGATCAATTCCCCATACTGCTGCCTTGTAGTCTTTCCTTACATGTAGGCACTTAATTTCTTTAGAAAACGAGGACGGATGGCAAAATCATAGTCATCTCTGAAAGCTATCAACCCAATAACTTTTCCATTCGAGTAAAAAACAGGAGCCCCCATTGAGCCATAAGCTGCACGTATGTTGTTTATCTGAATTACTGTCAAGTTTATACTACAACACATTAAAGTGTTGAAATAATGATGGTCAGGATTAATAAGAAGAGCAAATGCCTCCTCATAGATTTAGCAACTTGTCCCATTACAAAAGTATAATCGAGTTGGTTAGGGTGAGTTATAGAAAATACTTCAATCTCAATGTCTATACAATTTTTACTACCAAATTTACAGAATTCATAAGAATGAAGAAGTCTCGTATCCATATCCTTAGTTTTCAAAATAGCTAGGTCATACTGGGGCGCTCTAAAAAATATATCAGCTTCCTGAAAAGCTTTACCTTCCCTGCGACGTACCGTTACAACATTACCCTCAGGTACCAAATGTGCACATGTCAAAATATACTCGTATCTGTTTATCACCACACCAGCACCGTGCTCGCTACCATCCTCCTCCTCTGACGATCTTGGAATAATCGGCCGTGATGATACAACCACCACTACCTTTTTCATCCGATTGTATAAAATCTCTCAACGTTGTTGGATTGGCATTGGCATTGGCATTGCTGTCCTCATTCGCTTCGGCCTTTGACTACACATGCGTTTACTTTTCATGACAAGGATGAAACTTCTTTTCATGGCGGCGTTGTATGAGACCTCTTCCTTGTCTTCTTCGTCTAGAAAGGGGTCTTTAATGCAAGACAATATTCCAATGCATAAGACAATCAGATTCAATGAAAACCTTAAAAAGGGTTGTATCTAAAAAGCTACACTGGGCTCTTCACCATGAAAAGACCCCTTTTTAGAATTTGGTTGAATTTGGTTGTCTTATGCATTGGAATATTGCCGTGCATTAAAGACTCATTTTTAGACGAAGAAGACGAGGGAGAGGTCTCATACAACGCCGCCATAAAAAGAAGTTTCATCCATGCCATGAAAAGTAAACGCATGAGTCAAAGGCCAAAGCGAAGGAGGATAGTAATGCCAATGCCAATGCCAATCCAACAACGTTGAGAGATTTTGTACAACCGGATGAAAAAGATGGTGGCTGTATCATCACGGTCGATTATTCCAAGATCGTCGGAGGGGGAGGATGGTAGCGAGTACGGTGCCGGTGTGGTGATAAACAGATATTGATATATTTTGACATGTGCACATTTGGTACCTGAGGGTAATGTTGTAACGACACGTCGCAGGGAATGTAAAGCTTTTCAAGAAGTTGAGGTATTTTTGAGAGCGCCCCAGTATGACCTAGCTATTTTGAAAACCAAGGATATGGATACAAGACTTCTTCATTCTTATCAATTCTGAAAATTCGGTAGTAAAAATTGTATAGACGTTGGGATGAAAGTATTTTCTATAACTCACCTTAGCCAACTCGATTATACTTTTGTAATGGGGCAAGTTGCTAAACCTAGGAGGGAGACATTTGCTCTTCTTATTAGTCCTGACCATCATTATTTCAACACTTTAATGTGTTGCAGTATAGATTTGACAGTAATTCAGATTAACAACATACGTGCGGCTTATGGCTCAATGGGGCTCTTGTTCTTGACTCGAATAGAAAAGTTATTGGGTTGATAGCTTTCAGGGATGACTATGATTTTTCCATCTGTCCTCGTTTTTTAAAGAAATTACATTCCTATATGTAAGGAAAGATTACAAGGCAGCAGTATGGGAATTGATCAAATCTAGATATGTGATTTTTTTTATTTATTGTTTTTCCCTTTTTTTTTTCTTGCTAAGACATGATTTAGTTACTTCTTTTGTGCACATGTGAACAATGAAATAGGCAAAGTCAAAAATGGAAAGTTTCTAGATTCCTTTGAGGTTCTTGAAGTTCTCTCGATATCTATTTCTTTATTCTTCACAGTAATTTGCTGATTGTTGTGCATTTCTTGTGTTGTTTTTTTTTTAATCCATTGAGCTTGCACCACTTTGTCCCATGCTTTGTGTGACGGAAACAACACTCATGAATCACACATTCCCAATTTTTGTTTTTATGCTTATATTCTTGCTGTAATTTCTGTTATGCTGTCTATTGAATGGACTAAATTTTAATGCAAATTTGTTTGATTTTTTAAGAGAATTGTGATCAAGAAATTCCTTCAAGTATTATTATTATTTTTTATTTATGTGAGTAGCCATTTATTGTTTTTCATTATTTAAATGAAGTGGTGGAGGATTTTGCATTAAATTTCACTATAGAATTTTAGTCCACGATGTATTTGTGCTTTTCTTTAGCCAATTTTGGACATATTACACAAGCACGCATACATAAAACTCTCATTCTTTATCTCCTATAATGGCACAAAACAAATAACTAGAAATCCCTCATCATTTGCATACAAAGCTTGATAATTTTGATTGAGTATATATATTAAATCAGATAATGATTTAGAATTGTTGAGAAGGATTTTGAAATATATGTTGTATTGGGTTTGTGCAAAATGAATTAAGGGTTGAAAATGGATGTGCAGGTGTTCAACATTTGCATAGAATAAGGAGGTGGTTGCGTATGGGTTAATAATGATGAGGAAGTGGGTTTGTAATGGAGGGAGGTGGGTTTGGTAGTGGTTTTGTGATGAAGGGAGGTGGCTGTTTGGTGGTGTAGCAGGGGAATGGGTGGTGTGAAGGTGATGATTGGTCATGGTGAGAGGAAGTGGGGGAAGGAGATTTAGTGGTGGGTGTGGTTATGGAAATGTTGGTTTGTGGTTTGGAGATAACACGAAGAGGAAGATGAAAGAGGGGAGAGAAAGATAAAAGACCATTTTGTTATTATTATTTTTTTAAGTATATATTTTACGTATTTGCTATGTATATTAATTTTATATTACCAAACAACCAAATTAATAAAAACTAATATTAATTTAATGTGTATATAAAGATCATTACATTTATATATTATAAACATATGTTCTATATATTGTAAACATTATATAAAGACAAAATTAAATATATAATAAAAATAAATTTACAATATGTAAATTTATAAAGAAAAAATTAAATTAAAATATACAATATATGTATATATATAAATATCTAATCATCAAATAAATAAAAAATAAAGAAGAAAGAATATAATATATATAAACTAAAATATAATATATATATATTTATTTATAAATAAAAACAAAATTAAAAATATCTGATCACAGAGGAGAGAAAAACGAGATAGAAAAGAGAGAAGACAAAGAGATGAGAGAGGCGAGGGGTGAAGAGAGGAGAGCAGAGATCGATGAGACAGAGAGAGAGACGAGAGAGATGGAGATCGACTGAGAGAGGAGAGATTGACGAGAGAGAAGAGAGAAGATTGAGAGAGAGTGAGAGAAAGAGACTCTGAGAGAGATAGAGAGATTGAGAGCGACGAAGACGAAGATGAAGAAGACGATCGGAGACCAACCATCGACCATCGACGACCCACCAGCGAAGAGCTTCCAAGTATGTCCGACGAGCCTCTCTCTCTCTTTGTTCTGAGTTCGATTCTTGTTCCGATATGGACACGAGTGTCCCTGCCATGTCCTCTACAAAAAAAATCATTAAATTAAAGGAACACGTTATCTGACGTGTCCCCGGCGTGTCCGCGTGTCGGACACCGCCATGGCACCGATTTTGGAGTGCCTATGCTTCATAGTTTTCACCTAAGGTGGGCTCATCATATAGTGACATGTATGTTCTTATACAACTTTTTATAATTAAATCCTATGTATGTAGAGACTTACGAAAACTTCCCTTCTTGATGATGTGATTTAAGGTGTGGTGATGATATGGTTTGAAGTGCGGTCATGGGTGTGTGTCGTTTTAGCCATTTGAATGAAATGTGTTCTTTGATCTAGTTTGTACCTACTAGAAAAATTATACACTATTTTGAAATGCGAAACACCTTGGCATCAATGTCACTTTGTTTTCAAGTGTGGCACACTGTTTTCCTGTAAATGGGAAACGCCTTGATGTGTGGGTGTGTGAAAGTAATTTGTCATGTAATACTTCAATGGATAAGGTGTGGTCATGATGTGGTTTGAAGTGCGGTCATGGGTGTGTCGTTTTAGCCATTTGAATGAAATGTGTTCTTTGATCTAGTTTGTACCTACTAGAAAAATTATACACTATTTTGAAATGCGAAACACCTTGGCATCAATGTCACTTTGTTTTCTAGTGTGACACACTGTTTTCCTTTAAATGTGAAACGCCTTGATGTGTGGGTGTGTGAAAGTAATTTGTCATGTAATACTTCAATGGAATCTGCCAAAACTTGTATGCAAAAATATGCGTGCATATGCCTTCTTTTGCTGTATAAATGTGTATTAGTTTAAGCATATGCATTGCATGTCATTAAATTTAATCTTGCTGCGTGTAAATTGTGATTGATTGGATAAGTTTGAACAGGTTCCATGTGTTTGCTATTTATACTTTGATGAACACCGTTTTGGTATTGGCATGGGTTCCAGTGCTCCATTTTTGTGGCCATGGGTTCCAGTCATAGATCTAAATATCCGTACTGGCCGATTCGTACCGGAAAATCGAACCACCGATTCGGATATAGACCGGTATAGCGGTGGGAATGAAATTCGCAGCCGTAGTGTTTGAGTCCCGGTACGTGCCGGCCTGAATCTGATACATACGGCGATACAGTCCGATACACATTGGTTGTCGCCGGTACGGATGAGAATCAGCGCAGAAAACCTGCAAGATATAAGCTTCTTTGGGCTGTGGAGTTCACTTCGATCTTCAAGCTTCTTCAGAGAAGGTTTGTCCTTGAGTTGCAAATTATAATCTGTGCTTATGCTCTGTTTTTGGCGAGTTATTGTGCTATGCTCTATTTTTGGTGAACCCGTTACTGCCATGCTCTGTTTTTGGTGAACCTGCTGCTATGCTTTGTTGTGCTAAATGTTTAGGGTCTTTTTTTTTCCCTTCTATTTATTTGTTTATACACCTACACTACACCACTGTTTATATTAATATATATATATATATATATTTCTGTTGAGCAGAGCAAGGAAAAAAAAACAAGAAAAATAAATATTCAAATCAAATCTATCAAAAGCTTGGATTAGTGGCAAGGTTTGTTATTGGTTTATTTATTTATTTGTGTCTTGCTTTGGTGTAATTGCTTAAGATTGCTCTGTTTTTGGTGAACTCGCTACTGCCATGCTCTGTTTTTGGTGAACCTGCTGCTATGCTTTGTTGTGCTAAATGTTTAGGGTCTTTTTTTTTTTCCTTCTAGTTATTTGTTTATACACCTACACTATACCACTGTTTATATTAATATATATATATATATTTCTGTTGAGCAGAGCAAGGAAAAAAAAAACAAGAAAAATAAATATTCAAATCAAATCTGTCAAAAGCTTGAATTAGTGGAAAGGTTTGTTATTGGTTTATTTATTTATTTGTGTCTTGCTTTGGTGTAATTGCTTAAGATTTAGATTTATTTATTTTTTTTAAATGAGGTTTATTCTCATCAGATTTTTATTTTTATTTTAAATGTATTATTGTTACTAACTAAATTAGAATTACAATATTTGTCAATTGAAAACTGTTATTGTAGATAATTGAAAGTTATAATTGAGACTAAAATAAATACATATCATTTAGTTGAAAATGAGTCAAAAGTGCTCTATATATCAAAATTTTGATTAAAAGGTGACAAATTAAGGCTAAAAGAGTAAAAAAAAATGCATAAAATTGAGTTTTAGAGGGATTGCTAATGATTTTTAAAATTTCACGGCCGCGACACTTGATTCCCAATACGTACCGGCCGATACTACCGATACCCATACTTCGCAATCGATACCGTTACGTTACCCGATACCGCGATTTAGAACTATGGTTTCCCTTATTTTGAAGTTGTGTTTAGCCCTTGATCAAGTAATAACTCCCAGGGCCTACAATCCTGCCATACCATATTTTAGCTTGAGTTGTATTTCTTGCTAATTCAAGAAGGGAGGATCAATGTTTCAAGTCCTGCCATCCTAAAGTTGTGTAGGATTTTTTTTTGTTCTTTGTTTTTGTAACCTTTTATCAGTATGTGTGTTTATTGTGTATTGGGTGTTGTCTCTTTTGAATTGATCATGACATTTTAGAGAAATAATTGCCTTTCTTAGTTTAAATAAATAAATAAATAAATATATATATATATATATAATAGCCCTTTGATCTCATGTTTAGCTCAAGGAACCACCGACATGTAACTACTTTTTTTTTTAATTTAAAAAAATTTCATTTGGTCTAGTGAAATGGTCAATGTTATTGTTGTTAAAATTACATAACCAAGCACTTTTAGGTTGGGGAACCACTAACATGCAATGACCTTTTAAGCAACTACCAACATGCAACAACCTCATGTCATGTAAATTGTCTTCAAAAAAAAAAAAAGAAAAGAAATTGCTCCACTCTTATAGGTCGAGGCCTATTTTTTACTCATGATATCTGTTTTTCTTATAATAAAATGCTCGTTTCTCATATTGGTATGCTTTACTCATTTTCTTAATTTGAAGTTTTTATTTATTTATTTATTTATTTATTTTATACCTCTCTAATACTTTTGTATATATAGGGTACTTTCTTCAAGCCAAGGCCATACCCCTTGATCAACTGAGAAAGTGTGGATGGATTGCTAGCTGGAGATTTTTTATGCATCCATTATTGCCACAAAATCCCTTGGTCTTTGCCATCGGAACCCTAGGTTGTTGTCGAAGCCCTTGGTCAGCTCTCTTTCTCTCTCTGCATATGTTCTTAAGCTTGTGTCTTTCCTAAAATCTAGAGATGTTACGCCATATTATCTATTTTCATGCTTGTTTTGCTTTGTCTGGGAATTGGCTTGCAAGCATGAGTCATCAAATTTACTTGGTACTCTATTTTTTTTAGCAATTTTTTCATGCTTGTCCCAATCTAACTTTTCCATTCACTGCATAAGTCCAAAACCTATTGATACTCATATGACTATTCATTTTCAAAACCCCTTTGTGGACATAAAAGTACCTGCATTGGCATTTCTTCCTTTAGTTGCGTTTGAAGGAGGAATGAGGAGAAACATACCTAAGTTTGAGGTGCAATTTTCACCATTCGGAATCTTGTGCTAAGCTATTTTGTCTGCTCTTTACAAATACTTTGAATATATTGAGTTCTTATTAGTTTGGTCGTTTAACACCCAAATATGCTATTAAAAATATGTCAATCTTGTGTTTATGTTCCATGATTGGATTGCAAGATCTTCTTCACCAAGATTGAATTTGCTATTTCATTAATGTGTTATGGTTATGTTTCTAAATCTATCTCTGTATGTTTGCATTTTTATGTAATGTGCAGTCTAATTGATATGATATTTGTATTGTTAATGAGTGTTGACACTGGATTACCATGAACAAAGTTCTCATATTGCTGAAACTACTTTATAAATAATTTGCATTGGGAGGATAGAAGTCCTCAAGAAGCATTATACAAAACTTCAAGGGTGGTGTTTTGAACAAAGAAACTTTAGTTTCTTTGCATGGTATGCTTGTTGGGTGGTTTGTTTGAATTGGTGCAAATTGAGCTGGAAGTTCCTTTAGGCACAAATAACTATTTGATGCATTATGCTCATTTCAAAGCACATAGAATTGGAAGAAGAGACACTTTTCATCCATGATTATCAAATTTCAAGGTTAATAGGTGAACCTCCCACATGTGTTGTTGCAGTGGCCTAAACTCTCAGTGCAAATTAGGATTTTGTTATTATGTGAAGAACATTGGCATAGTTGAAGAACCTGGTGTGCCGAATCTGTACTTTGTAAGTTAAATGCTTGGTCAGGAAAGGTGGCCTCTTGCAGCAAAAAATTGACACTATAGCATAAATTAATGCTGCAAATTCTGTTTATTAGAACTGTTATGATATAAATTGTTTAGTTTATTCTGAAAATCTACTATTGCCGTTCATTGTAAAAAAAAGAGTGATTTTTTGTTTGTTTAGTTTCTCTATGATAAAAGTACGATTTTTTTTATTTGTCATGATTTCAGCTATTAAGTTTCTCTATTTTGTTTTTGAGTTATTTGTGGCTGATGTTCTTCTCCAAAGCTATTTCATATTACTATTCTTCTTAACTCATGACAATGTGCTTTGAAAATAGTGTAGAGCTTGAGGGTTGTCATGTTCATATTATTTTGTTACCTTTGATTTGCATCTTCTGCATCATCACATATTCAAAGTTCGGTGTGTGTGCGTGTGTTTTATTTTATTTTTCTTTCACAGTTGCAAGTTGCAGCTCAGAGTAATAATCTCCATCTAAATGTTGATGTGAGTCTCAAGGAATGATGACTTTTGTAATCAACATTTTGAAAATTGAGCCATGGGAGTTGATTGGATTTAGTCTCGAGTTGTTATGAGAGTGGTGAGATTATAGAATGCAGTTATCAAGTTTAGTTTATTAGTTGTTCGGAAAAATTGTCTGCAAAAGCAGTTATTGTTTGAAAAAAATAAGTTATTTTGAATGATAAAGACCTTCCCATGATTGGCTGCAGGATCAAGCAAGAGTACAAGCAGCTGCAGAAGCACTTTGCAAGAAGTTTCATCCGGGGGCTTTCTATGAAATCAATTGACTCAAGGGGGTGAAACTGCTCGCCTTTGAAGCATAGCCTGCTCGGGCTTTGACTGAGCTTTGTCATAGCTGCGTCAGGCAGCCTTTCTACTGGGGATTCAGATGGTGGGTGGGTGGGTGACACTAGAATTGCAACAGGGGAAAGGTTTTTTATTTTTATTTTTATAATAATTAAGAAAAAAATTAAAAATAGAAATAAGGTTCTCAGAATCTCAATGTTTTATATGTAGTGAATGATATATGGTTGTAAACAATAGCAATTGCATGAATATCTTAATTAGCAGACAGGTCATTCTGATACACTTGGTTGGATTTGCAATTCCAGATAGAATGAACACACCTTTTTTAGTGTATGGCTAAATTAGTCAATTAATTTGATCACTACGTATCTATTTTGGTATATTTCACAATCAGTAGAGAGCTCTAGCTAGAAAATCTTGAATTTGAATGTGACAGTTACGAATCTTTGACGATAACGCATGCAATGTTTGATAGCTTTATAAACCAAAATCTCCTGCAGGCCCCTTTGTTTCTTGTTTCCTAGAATGTCCACCAGGTATTAACATTTTTTTGTTTCCTGAGGAGCACAAAAAAATAAGATACAATTTATTCATACATCTAGTAATATCCAATAAAATTAGTTTCTTGCACAACTTGTATAAGTCGTTGGAATTATGAGATGAGCGGTTTAGATTATCATTGCGAGCTTAAAATGAGCCTAAAAAATTGGAGTATGGAAGGGATCAATTTTTTATTATTTAGACATTTGATTCACTTAATCGTAATTATCATATTTAAGATGTTTTATTTTTAAGAATATTTTTTGAACGTTTAGCAATTTGGTATTGTAAACATTCATATTTTATAATGTAAATGTTCACATTAACGTGTGAATGTTGACATTATGGAATATTTACACTGTAATATTTTTATTTTATAACGTTTGCCTTTAAAATAATAAATAAATTATTTTAAAAATGCACGATAAAATAAAAATAGTATAATTATTAAATAGACTCATTTATTTATCTATGAATTATATACTCAATAAAACCTTAAAAATAAATGAAATGATTCTTAAACAAATAATTTAAACAATGGCAATAGTGGTAAGAGCTCTTCCGCAAAACAATCACAAAAAATGATGAGTTGAGTTGTATCACACCTCGTTCTCATTTTGAAATCTTTGTTCGTTCGTTCTTCAGATCTGTAACTGGCTTCATTAGGTTTAGGGTTTTGATTGAATCTGATTGTCTTATGCATTGGAATATTGCCCTGCATTAAAGAATCCTTTTTAGATGAAGAAGATGAGGGAAAGGTCTTATACAACGCCACCATGAAAAGAAGTTTCATCATTGCCATAAAAAGTAAATGCATGCGGAGTCAAAAGCCGAAGCGAAGGAGGAAAACAATGCCAATGCTAATGCCAATTCAACAACGTCGAGAGATTTTGTACAACCGGATGAAAAAGGTAGTTGTTGTTGTATTATCACGGCCGATTATTCTAAGATCGTCATCGCAGGATGGTGGCGAGTACGGTGTCGATGTGGTGATAAACAAATATGAATATATTTTGACATGAGCACATTGTTAGAAATACAAACTCAATTTGAGTTTGGAAATGAAATAGCTAGGAGATGAAGTTGCTGGAGAGTTCTAGAATGAAGAAGAGGAAGCTAAAATGAAGAAGAAGAGTAGAGAAGCTGCTGGAAGAATGGAGGAGGAGGAAGTTTCAAGGAAGCTCCATTGATAAAGTTTAATGAGGAAGACACATTGTAGCACACACGGTTTACACATGTTTGTGAAATCTATAAATAGATAGGTTATGTGATTGTTTTAGATAAAGTGGGAGAAAAACAACATCTCCAGGAGTGGGAGATTTCTAAGAGAGTTGAAAGGTTTGAGAGTTAACAGAGAGATAGCTCTGTTTTGTATAATTTGCTTGTGATTTAATAAAAGAAGTGTTTGTTCAATTTATTTTCCTCTCTTTGTATATTTACACAACCAGCATACATCCCTATCCCACTTTCAACACACATTTGGTACCTGAGGGTAATGTGTTTAGCGGTGGCCATTTAAATCCAACGGAGGGCCCACCTATACCCGCCGCGACACTTATGTGTGGGGGGCGGGGGTGGATTATGTTTTGGTCACCCCGCAATGGGGGTGGGCGGAGGTAGAGCGGGGGCGGGTATTGCTTCCCCCGATCCAACTGACTCGATATAATTAATAATATATAAATAAATAATATATGTATATATATATATATATATAATATAGATTAGTATAAGAAAAATAATATTAAAAGTCTATGATTTTGTTTAAATATGAATAAATAATAATCTTAAAAGTCTCACAATTTATATATATGAAAATAAAAAAAATTATTTGGTGTGCTAAGAATTTAAATAGTTATTAATTTTTTTGACTATTTGAAATGTGGTCGGATATCTGCGGGTATCGGGGTGGCGGGGTGGGGTTGAAAAATTCCACCCGTAGCGGGAGTGGGGCGGAGCAAGCGAATGACAAACCCGCCCTGTGGCCATCCGTAGATACAAAGGTAAAGCTTTCAGGAAGCTGAGGTATTTTTGAGAGCGCCCCAGTATGACATAACTATTTTGAAAACCACGGATATGGATACGAGACTTCTTAATTCTTATGAATTCTGTAAATTCGGTAGTAAAAATTGTATAGACATTGGGATGGAAGTATTTTCTATAACTCATCCTAACCAACTCGATTATACTTTTGTAATGGGGCACGTTGCTAAACCTAGGAGGGAGGCATTTGCTCTTCTTATTAATCTTGACCATCATTAGTTCAACACTTTAATGTGCTGCAGTATAGACTTGATAGTAATTCAGATTAACAGCATACGTGCAACTTATGGCTCAATGGGGGCTCTTGTTTTTGACTCGAATGGAAAAGTTATCGGGTTGATAGCTTTCAGAGATGACTTTGATTTTGCCATCCGTCCTCGTTTTCTAAAGAAATTACATGCCTACGTGTAAGGAAAGACTACAAGGCAGCAATATAGGGAGTTGATCAAATCTGGATATGTGATTTCTTTTTTTGGCTTTTTCTTTCTTGCTAAGACATGATTTTGTTACTTCTTTTGTGCACATGTGAACAATGAAATAGGCAAAGTCAAAAATGAAGGCCTTGTTTGGTTTAACTCTCAAAACATAATTTTTGAAAAAAAAATTCAAAATTTTGTTTGGTTAGAAATTTTTGAATTTTTTTTCTAAAATTACTCTCTTTCATACATATCAATCAATCACTTTTTCTCCCTCCTCCCTCCTCTCTTATTCTCAATTACTTTTTCTCTCACACACATCTACTCAACAATAACAAAATATCAAATTATCCCAAACTCTCATACTCCAAAACTATTTCCAAAATATACAACCAAACAAATCAAATAAACTCTTTCCGTAAAGATTTTTT